AGCCCTCGGGGGCAGTGGCCGTAACAGAAAGCCGTTCAGGCCCGCGATCAGACAGCGTCGTATGAGTGGAAGGGGAGGCAAAAAAGCAGAGAAGTGGAAGTGCTCTGGGTAGTCAAAGGGGTTTGTGCCTGGGCTGCCAGACTTCAGAGAGGGGTAGGAGGAATCAGCAGGGAAGCCGAGCTCCGGAGGGCTGTAGGAGCTGATGTGCAAGCGAGTGGCTGTCCCATGGAGCGTGGGTGGGTCTAATTGCTGTGTGCAGCATTAACAATCTGTGGAAATGGTGCCTCCCATTTTGATGCTGCTGCTCCCAGCAGGGCCTTCGGGAATATGAGTGGTTCGTAAGAGTCATCCGAGCAACTCTTGGCCTGGAAGATCTGCCTCGAAATGAGCTCAGCGTGTTCCTCATGTACCCAGGAAGGTTGTGTGTCTGGAGTAGTCAGACGATCTCCGTGGGGAGAGGATTGAACGGAAAGCCTCCAGGCAAGCAGGAGACACGAAAGTCCCTTGCTAGAAACAAGAGGGGCAGGCTGCACAGAACAGCCGGTCAAACCTCTTTGGGGGAAGAAGGTGTTCCACAGGGGAACGTAAAAGCTCAATCATGCCTCTTGTCCCCATTGGGTCCGTTTCACTCTCCTGGGAGTCTCAGGCTTGTGGGACCTGTGAGCAGGCAGCTGACAAGTCACAAGCCCCTCCACCGCTGCCTGCGGCCAGCACGGTGGTCTGTGGCTGCTCCGTTGGGGGTTGGCAGTGAGTGATCTTCTCCACGTTTGCAGAGCGGGACTACCACAGCCTGTGCGAGAAGCAGCCCATCGGGCACATGCTCTTTCGGCAGTTCTGCGAGACACGACCTGAGCTGTCACGCTGCGTCAAGTTCCTGGATGCCGTGGTAAGAGCAAAGACACCCACCCCCGTCAGACTTTGCTGGGGGAGGGAGGGGTGTTCTTGGTGCCCTGGGCACGGACTGCTTGGCCCTGGGTGCTCCAGCAGTTGCCAGGTACTTCTGGGCATGCAGGGTCTTCCTGAAGGAAAAACCTGTGAGCTGCGGTTTCCTCTGGATGGGGCTGGGCCTTTGCTTAGGGAGCTGTTTGCTGGAGATCTGGTTTTCCAGGAAAGCACGGGAAACCTTGGGCAGAGGGTGTTGCTGCTCTGCAGCTGCTGCCCGATAGCAAGGCTCGGTTCCTGGCTGGACCTGCTCCTCAAGCTGTTTGCTCTGTGCAGGCAGGGTACGAAGTGGCTCCAGATGAGAAGCGGAAGGAATGCGGGCAGCACCTGATTGAAAAGTACTTGAAGCCAAATGTGAGTAAGAGGGTTGTGTTTGCTGCCTGCAGCGGTAGAGCAGTTGGAAAGCTGACAGCTGTTACTGCCCGTGTCCTGCCACAGCGAATGTGCCGGGCAGGACGGTGAGGGCAGTGTACAGAGCCACCCCACCACCTCACAGCCAAACATTACTGCTTTTCCTACTGCCCCTAAAGGAGATGGGCCCCTGTGTGCTGTTCCTGTGGGCTTCTCCTTCTTGGGAGGATCATTGTGCTTTGTTCCCTGTGTCTGACTCCATCCCTGTGTCCCCAGAGTGAGGACCATGTGCCTGAAGTCCCCGCACAGCTGGTTGATGCCTGTTGTGAGAGGCTGGAGCAGGAACCTTCCAAGGAGCTCTTCAAGGAATCCACTAAGTAAGTTGGAAGGCTGGGGCCTGCCTTCAGGTCGCACCATGGCATGGAGGTAGATGCTGCATCTAGCTCACCTCGTCCCTCGTGGTCCCTTCCTCCAGCAGAGCAAGGGCTGGTGCGAAGGCTGGGCCCTGGGGAGTTTTGGGCTAGCAGTTTGCAGCACAGCTACAAGAAAGCAAATGCAAGGAGCTCCCATGGGCTCTGGGAGCCACAAGCTGCTGCAGAAACCTCTGTCACTCCTCTCAGTCTGCTGTGGGTCTGTGCTGCCGTTTGGGAAGACCCTGTTTCAGCACGCCTCAGCATCTGGCCGTGCTGTTCCCAGTCTTGTGCCAGGATCTCGTAGGCACCCGGAGAGCAGAGCTGACAGCTGCAGTCCCAGTGCCAGCTGTCCTCTCCCGCTGGCCGCAGATGTGGCCGGTGTGTTTAGGTTATGCTGGCTGTTGCTGCAGGGATCTAAGGTCACTTCTGTTCCCATCACAGAAGCAGAGGTCCTGGCTCTGGGTATGAAGCGGAAGCTGTTAGGCAAACCGGGCGTACGGCCTCCACCCGTCCCTGAACAGTAGCTGGAGCGCGTTGCCTAATCGAGTGCGGGGCTGTGGCAATGGGTTTGCTGCAGCCTTCTGGGGAGCCTTAGCTCTGTGTGTGGTAACCAGTGTCACCGACTGAATGCAGAGCCTGCGGGCTGGGCCCTGCCTGCTCTTGGCAAGCTCTGAAAGGGGAAGAGCCCGTCCGCTTCTCCTTGATGCGTGGCTCCAGTCTAGACACTACGTCTAAGGCTCTCTACTCCGCTGGGCAGCCCTGGCACCGGTCTTTAAGGCAGTTAGCTCTCTCGAGCAGGATCCCCTGTGGCCTTTTGTGCTGGATTTTCATCTGAAACTGAACAACTCAGCGCCTGGTGCTGAGCATTGCTAGCAGTTTTCAGCAGCTGATTACAGCCTTGAGTGTGCAATTGCCCTGTGAGCAGAGGGGCAATAGCAAAGAGTCGCAGCATCCCCGCAGCCCGGGCTGGTGCTGAGAGGCCACAATGAGCAGTGTCAGCCCCATCCCAGGGTGCTGTGTCCACCACAGTGGTACCTCCAACATGCCTTCCTTTCACATCGGGCTTAGCGTGGAGGGGGAGTTTCTGGGCCAGGGCTCTGTGGGTGATCCAGCGCTAGGCTGGGCGAGGGGATGGCAGAGTGACGGGGCTGTCAGGGCTGCTCACCTTCTCTTGCCTTGGGCCACCGGCGTTTTCCATCAGCTCTCAGGAACCTTGCTGGCTCTGCTCTCTCCTAGGCTTATCCACGACTACCTGAGTGTGGCTCCGTTTGCCGACTACCTCGACAGCTTGTACTTCAACCGCTACCTGCAGTGGAAATGGCTGGAACGGTAACGCTCCCCAGCATCTCTGGGAGACCTGCACCCTGCTTGCATGGGCTGCCTGAGGGGTCCCTTGGGTTCCTTCCTGTGCTGGGCCCTGGCAGGAGCCAAGGGCCTGGCCTTTGTCTGCTCTTGCTCTCCTTCAGGGCCCTTTAATTGGCACCGTTAGCCTCTGCTAGCTGCCCCAGCCTTGCTTGCCTTGCAGGGAAGCAAGATCTGCTTGAGCGGGGGTTTTGGGGTGAGCCACAGTCTCTCTGGCCAGGGCACGAGAGTGGTTTGGGCTTCAGCCCCTGTTTGCTCTCTGCTCCCGCTTCACCCCGGTTTCCTTTCCCTCGCAGGCAGCCAGTGACCAAAAACACTTTCCGCCAGTACCGTGTGCTGGGCAAGGGCGGTTTTGGGGAGGTGAGTGACCAGCATTTCCTCTGCATTCGGGGTACCAGGCGGCCACCGTTGCCCGCTGGCAAATCCGGACCTGGGTTGGCTATGAGGGTGCCCCGGGCTGTCCCAGCACCTGGGGGCAGGTGCTGCTGGTGGGTGGGCTGAGGGCCTCTGCACTGGGCTCTGGGCATTGCGTGATCTGTCAGCTCCCCTCTGAGGGGCAGGGGCTCCCCTCTTTCCAGTCACTGGAGGTGTGGGAGGTGTTGCGCAGGGTAGGTAGCATGTGCCCTGTGGTACGTACTGCTGCCTGGGCAGTAAGCTCTGTTCCCGGTGTCTTGGCAGGGGAAACTGCACTCCTGAAAACTGTCACTGTCAGGCTTCCTTCTGTTTCTGGAGCGGCCTTCTGTCTGCTACAGGTGGCAAGGGCATCGCAGCCCTCTGCTCCTTATCTGTCACATCTGGAGATGTTGCTGTTCCCTGTGTCCTTGCTCTGACAACGAGCTTCTCGCTAACCTCAGAGTGAGGTGGGGTCAGGGACATCTTTGCCTTCCCATGCCTCTTCCTGAGAGCAGAACCTAGACCCCCACCCTGGAAACGGCAGCGGGAGGGTGCTGAGCCTTGTCCCCCCTCCAGGTGTGTGCCTGCCAAGTGCGTGCCACGGGGAAGATGTACGCCTGCAAGAAGCTGGAGAAGAAACGGATCAAAAAGCGGAAGGGAGAGGCCATGGCCCTGAATGAGAAGCAGATCCTGGAAAAAGTGAACAGTAGGTTTGTAGTAAGTACATAGGTATTGCTCTCACTTTGCTGCAGCGGTTGATTCTTCCTCCAGCCAGCCAGCCCGGTACCTCTGTGCTCCTCACCTGGTGCGGAGAGCCAGGAGCAAGCCCTGCCCGTGGGGTAGGGTCCTGGTGGCTGCAGATCTCTCACAAGGCTAGGGTCTGGCAGGACGTCCTGCTGCTTCCACTAGATGCTGTAAATGACCCCAAAGTCAGGCCCAAACACCCATCTGGTCTCACAGGCACGTTGTTAACCTCTGGGGCAGAGGAAAGCAGCAAGAACTGTCTCTCCAGGCAGCCAAATGGGCAGAAGCCTAGCCCTGAGCTGTGTAGTGGGGAGCTCTCTCCCTGGCTGCACTGAGGTGAGGGCAGCCTGAAACCTCCCTTTACGGAGGATTCATCAGGCGCTGCCCTGGGATTGCTGTTGAGTGCTGCTTGCCCCTGGCGGAAGCGGTTCTGGCTCAGGGAAACAGTGTCCTCCCTGTCTGAGGAAAGCTGGGGTGTGCAGGGGCTGCTGGGCACTTCCATGTCCTCCCTGGGTTTGCGCAGTTCCCCCCTCTGGCTCCTCTGCTGGCAAAGGCCCAGCCTTGCTGCCCGTGAGTGGCTGCTTGGGGGACAAAGTGCCCGTCGGAGGGCGGGCACCTCCCTCTTCCAGCTGTGTCTTCTAACAGCCTTTCTGCCCTGAATTGCAGGTGAGCTTAGCCTATGCATATGAAACTAAAGATGCTCTCTGCCTAGTGCTGACCCTCATGAATGGAGGGGACCTCAAGTTCCATATCTACCACATGGGAGAGGCCGGCTTCGAGGAGCCCCGGGCGGCTTTCTATGCTGCCGAGATCTGCTGTGGCCTCGAGGACTTGCACCAGGAGAGGATAGTGTACAGGTGCGCGCTGCCTGGCCCTGCTGGGAGACCTTGTACGGGCTGCAGAGGCAAGAGGGTTCCTGCTGCTCTTACTGGCTCAGCTGAGTCTGTCTGCTCAAGAAAGCAAGCTCAGTCTTAAAAGCAGCACAGAGCTGGGTGAGAGGGGATGCGGAACAGAAAGCTGATCTCATGGGAGAGAGAGGGGAGCTTAGCTTGGCTCCCTCGTGCTGGTAGGTGATCGCCAAGAACAGGGTGCGATCATGCTGTGAATGCCTCGGGGCTGGCACTTGGGTGCTTAACTGCCCGGGCAGTATTGACACTGGAACAAAGGAGGGTAGGCTGCCCCGATACGCTCAAGACCCAGAGCTGGGCAGGAGGGAGAACAAGCTGCTCGTATGACTGTACTCACCAGGTTGTGTGATGCACGGCTGAACACGGGGCCAGAAAGTCTCTTCTAGTCCTGCCCTGTGCCTTGCCCTGGGGCAGGACAAGCAGATGAAGCCTATGCTGCTGCTTTCTTGCACAGCCTGCCCCTGCACCTGCAAAGAAGGAGTCAGCCACAGGCTCACTGCTTCCTTGCAGAGGGTTGAGGGTTGTCATGCCCTGCCTCTGCCCAAGAGGGGAGCGCTTGCAGGGCTAACTTCGGGGCAGAGGGTGAGGGGAAGGTTATCTGTGTGCCCGAGGCAGGGGCATTGCATCCCTCTGCTGCTTATCTGTGACTTCTTGAGATGTTGTCGTTCCTCGTGTCCTTTGCTCTGACAGCAGGCTTCTTGCTAATCAAGTCTCTTCCTTCCTAGGGACCTGAAGCCAGAGAACATATTGCTGGATGACCACGGTGAGTGCAGGTCAAGGGGAGCCCTGGGCCTGGGTCCTTCTCCCTTCCTGTGCTTGAACCGGCATTGCTCTGTGTTCTTGGCAGCTTCGAACGTCCCTTCACCTTGTCCTGTTAACTTGCCCCCTCCTCTGTGCAGGTCACATCCGTATCTCAGACCTGGGGCTAGCTGTGCACGTGCCAGAGGGCCAAACAATCAAGGGCCGGGTGGGGACAGTTGGCTACATGGGTAAGTGGCCCTGGTTTAATCAAAAAGTGGTCTCTGACTGCACACATGTTCGCCCTGCCCTCACACATCCCTCACCCCTGCTCCTGTGTAGCTCCGGAGGTGGTGAAGAACGAGCGCTACACATTCAGCCCAGACTGGTGGGCTCTGGGCTGCCTGGTGTACGAGATGATCGAGGGACAGTCCCCCTTCCAGCAGCGCAAGAAGAAGATCAAGCGGGAGGAGGTGGAGCGGTTGGTGAAGGAAGTGCAGGAGGAGTACTCGGAGAAGTTCTCGCCCTGCGCCCGCTCCCTCTGCACCATGGTACGAGTGTGCATCCCTGTCCCTTCGCTGCCACCGCCTCTTTGCACACAGCAGGGGGACATCCAGGCTGCTCCCTGTAGAGGTGCTGGTGGCAGCCATGTTGCCTTGTCTCAGATAAGGCAGCGCAGGAGGGTCCAGAGTGCCTTCGTCCCTCGCTCTCCCAGCTGGCTTGCGGGCCTGCGCCATGCCTAGAGACATACTGCAGGAGCCCGGCTGCTCCTGCCCGAAGCACCCTCCACCCAGGCACTGCTTTCCGTTGTGTTGCAGCTCCTGTGCAAAGACCCTCTGGAGCGCCTGGGGTGCCGAGGAGCTGGGGCCAAGGAAGTGAAGGAGCACCCTCTCTTCAAGCACCTCAACTTCAGGAGGCTGGAAGCAGGCATGCTGGACCCCCCCTTCAAGCCAGATGTAAGTGCCTGGCCGTGTCCTGACCTCTTCAGTCACTGCTGCTGTCAAGGGAAGCAAGAGCTTTGGAGTGGCTCACCTGAGGAGATGTGGCCCGTCCCCTTCCCTTTTGTCCCTGGAGCCTGGCAGAACAGGGGTCGAGCAAGCTCTGGAGGGAGTGGGGGGACCGGGCTTGACTATGAGCCAAGGTTCTGAGATGGTGGCATCTCAGTGGAGCCTGCCATTAGAGCAATCTTTGTGCTGTTTAGCCCCAAGCCATCTACTGCAAGGATGTTCTGGACATTGAGCAGTTCTCCACGGTGAAAGGGGTGGAGCTAGAGCCCACGGACAATGACTTCTACCAGAAGTTTGCTACGGGAAGCGTGCCCATTCCTTGGCAGAACGAGGTAAGTTTGCAGGACAGGTCTTTGCTCCTGCTTCTGCAGGAGCCCAGTGCGGTGTCGGCAGGGTTCGTGCTGTCCCTGCTGCTCCTGCGCTCTGCTGGGCCCTCAGCGACAGGCTTTGTGTGGCAGTTGCTGCAGCCATCTTTGTCCTCTTCCAGATGATCGAGACGGAGTGTTTTAAGGAGCTGAATGTCTTTAGCACAGACGGCACAGTGCCCCCAGACCTGGACTGGAAAGGGCAGCCTTCTCCGCAGCCCAAAAAAGGGTTGCTCCAGCGCTTATTCAGCAGACAGGTGAGAGTGTTTGCCCAGAGTTTCCTCCGCAGCAGGTCCTCTGGCAGCAGTGAGCCCGCTCCTGCCGCACCCACGCAGGGCTGCAGGCAGCCAGCCCTGGCCTGGCTGGCACTCCCAGCGCTGGGGGAGCCGAGGGGCCTGGGACGGAGTGTCCTGGCTAAGCGTGCTGCAGTCACACAGGGAGGGGGATGTTGCTGAAGGCACTAAAATAGCAAGTCTTCTCCCTTCCTACATGAATAATACCATCCTTGAAGAAGACTTTGCTCTTGGAGTGGGCTGTCTGGGCTCCCCAGAGCATTTCTGGCAGACCTTGAGCCAGGCGGAGAGAGCAGTGCTTTCGAGGGATGAGGAGAACGGAAGTGTCTTGCAGCTGCTATGGGCTCGCTTTCCTGCCTGTCTCCTCTGCCCGGAACAGTCTTTGCCTTCTTTCCAGGACTGGCAAAGTCTGGGCTGCTGCCTCTCAACAGCTGCTTGCAGCTGGGGGACTCGGGCGTGGTTGGCTCTGGACCCGCTCTCAGCCACCCGGTGCCGACTCCTGCGTCCCCGAGGAGCTCTGAGCTGTGCTTCCCTGTTCGGTGGGCTGCCCTGGCCACAGCCCGCTCTGGGCTGGGACACCCCACCCTTCCCGAGGCCGGCAGGACCTGCCTGAGGCTGGGCAGCTGCCTGTAGCAGGGGCTGAGCTGTGATTTGCCACATGTTTTCTCTTTCCAGAGGTGAGCAGTCTCTCCTGGCTGCTCTGCTCAGGGAAATACCCGGTGGCCCGCGGACGTGGCAAGATCTGGGAAAGAGGAGTGTTGTCCTTCAGTGTCTGTCCCTTTCTCCCAGCCGAGCACAAGCTGCTTGTTGTTCTAACTGCCCCCTGAGCCACTAATTCCGCTTCCCTGCTCTCGCTGCCTTCGTGAGGGAGGCCTTGCCCTCAGCTTGAGCCAAAGCTGCTGCTGGGAGCTGCGCTCCCAGGGGGCTGTGCAAAGTTCCCTTCACTCCTCTCTTCGGATGTCCGGGACGCACGGAAGGGTTGAGAAACCGTGAAGGGTTTGGCATTGCCCTGTGCTCAGGCTCCCTCCTGTTCCAGGGCTTCAGCTGCTTCCGCGGCCGGCTGAGCCCTGAGCGGGGCAGATCGTCTGTGCTGGCACTGAGCTGTCTCCCTGCGTGGCTGCAGTCCACGGAGCCCGTCTTCTTCCCAGCTTCTGAGCTAGTCAGCTGCGTGCTCACCAGTCTGTCTGCTAGGAGCTGAACCCCCAGATGCAGCTTGACTGTTACTGTGCAGACTGGGGGTCCCCTCCAGCCCCTTGCCTCCATGTAGCTCGGCTGTGCACAGGCTGGGGGGGCCTGGCCCTTCCCTGGCAGAAGGCTGGGTTGTGGGACTGTGCTCACCCTCTGCTTGCTGTGCTCCTCTCTCTCCCTCCTCCCTCTCCTTGCCCTTCTGACTTCAGGACTGTTGTGGAAACTGCAGCGACAGCGAGGAAGAGCCCACCCGGCTGTAGAGCACAGCTTGTTCTCCAGCCCCGGGGACCCCCTTGCCTCTCCGGGTGCCCAGCAGAAGAGCCGCCCAGCCTGAAGGACAAGGTAGCAGCGGCCCCGCAAGGTGGATTTGTTTACAGCTTTACTCATCCGTATTTGAGGACTGTGAGGACGGCTCCAGGGCTGGCAGCAGCGCTCGGCTCGGGCCGAGGTGCCTCTGGCTGGGGACAAGCCCTCGTCCCCGAGACAGACCTGGATGCTTCTGAATCTGCAGCTTGGGATTGTGCTGCTACCGCCCGCCGGCTGCTGCTCCCCTCCCGGGCCCAGGGTGGGAGGGAGAGATTGCGCCGGCGTGGGCCGAGGCCAGGCTGGAAGCTTTTCTGACACATTCCACGGTGCCGAAGCGGCACTGCAGGTTTGGTGTATATTTATATATGTCGGTCTGTACATATCACATGTCGGTTTTTAATCTGTAGGTGGGGGCCGGCCCCCCCCCCCCTCCTGTCACAGGCACAAATGTCCTCCTATGGGGGGAGCGACGGTCCCAGCTGTGTACCAGGGAGTCCTGGGCAGAGGCCTTCTGTGCCTTGAGGTGTCTAAAGCATCTTTCCTGGACCTTTCTGGCCGTGCTGAGGTGGCCCTGGCTCCAGCGGAGTCCATCGCTCAGCCCTGAGGCACGGGAAAGCGCTGTGCCAAAGCGTCTGCCATTGCATCCCGGCAGCGCAGCGTCGCTGCCTCGTCCTCGCTGCCC